GGCACTGAGTGTCAGCATGATAACATGACTTAAAGAACTCCAGGAACTTTTTTTTCCTCTGCCGCCTGCCAGCCAGTGTAACAGCACAGCGGTGGAAGGATCTACTCTTCGGCTCTGAGTTTGGCTCTGACATCAGCCAAGCAGAAGAAGACAGAGACAGAGATGGAGAAGGAGCAGGAAGGTACTTGTATATTATTATTATTATACAGGATTTATATAGTGTCAACAGTTTGAGCAGCGCTTTACAATATAAGGAAGACATTACAATCACAATACAATTCAAGACAAGATGGTAAGGAGGGCCCTGCCTGTGAGGGCTTACAATCTAAAAGGGAGGGGCAAGTGATACATGAGGAGGTAGCTGTGTGGGGATGAATCGTTTGAGAAAGTGATAGTATACTTGTATACTTTTCTATAGGGGACTGTGAGCTGGTGGCTGGTGCAAATAAATGGTTATTGGCAGGGCATTAGATGGCTGCTATTTTGTGTGCTCTACACTAACACCAATGAAAGTTGGGGAAATGGGGGTTATAATTTGTAACCCCACTCTCCCTAGCTTCACTGGTGTGGCAGTGTTATTTTAAGTTATAATTACACTGCCACACTAAAGAAACTCAGGAAAGAGAGTTAAATTGCACTGTACAGGGGTGTCCCGAGGCTGGGTGAGAGAAGAATACTTATATTGTGCCGACAAGTTTAATACCTTTGAATAAAAGTTAAATTTGTATCATACTTTTTAATATGTTTCTTTGTGGCTTAGCAAAATTGGAGTCTTTAAATGCTGCGGATATTGGGGAAAAGGGGTGTGGTTACTGGGGGTGTGACCATTAAAGGGTGTGGCCACTGAGGGGCGCTGTAAAGCTTTCTCGCACAGGGCGCCTAAAGGCCTAAGGCCGGCCCTGAAGCTGGGGAAAGTTGGGTTACAAATTATAACCCACATTTCCCCAGCTTTCATTGGTGTGGCAGTGTTGGGCTCCATTTACACATAGCGATTGCTTTTTCCGCGTGGCACAAAAATGCAAATGTTTACATACGCGTGGATTCCGCATGTTTGCGGCTACAACTATAGCTGAAACGCACAGAATCCGCACAGAATATCGCGCTTGGACTTTTGCGCGATGAGCATCTTTGCAAACGTTGCGCAGGTGTGATCTAGATACATTAGAATGTATTGGTTTTTATGTTTAGCGCGTTTCTGCACATAAGAATATGCGTGGAAAACCGCTAATGTGTGAACAGAGCCCAAGGACCCATTCACATCAAGCCTGTGCATGGTTTGCTGGGGAAGTGGCCCATACAAAATTTTGCTATGGGGCCGCGATTTCTAGTTACGCCCCTGTGTCTAGGTTAAAAAAAAAGTTATACCGGCTTGTTCTTAGACAAGTCATTCCAGCCTATATCCCACTCCTCTGCAGCAGTCTGTGTTTAGATGTGAAGACGCTGAGGGACATACCATTGCATAGCATTGTTGCAGTGTAGAAGGAGACAGGCAGGAGGGAACACTGTCAAAGCTGGCTACCTGGAGTTCTTTAAAACAGTCAGCAATGGCAGCCACTTAATTTCTATTATAATGGGTTCATCTTATCTTCCCCTACCAGATTTGCTGTTTAACTGTTCAGCAGTATGAATTTCCGAGGCTGATAGTAAAATGTTGCTGTCAACAATCTCACAGCTGCAAATAAATGCTTTGGGAAACTGAACACTTGGAGTGGTTCTCACATCTAACCAACAGTGAAACATTCAAGGGCTTTATTCAGGTACTACTGTGATAGCACCACAAAAACATCCTAGCTTGTTGTTACTAGACACATTTCTTGGACAATCCAGCATTATGTGGATTAATAAAGGAAATCTGTCATAACACAGATTGACATTGTAAATCTCCCTTTGAAAAGGTTAGTTACCGGGCTATCACAATGATCACTTGCCTTTAATTTTTGCTATTATGTTGCGCTAGGTCCTGTGTAGCAATCTCACAAGATATTAATGTTGTATCAACAACTAATCTCCTCCTTTAATTCCAAAATATCTATGACTCTATAGAAATATTCAAATGGATTAAAAAGCAAAAAACAAATGTGTCGTGATCCTTATTAAACAAGTGCTTAATGCCTTGCATTTATCCTCTCTCTAATCCATGGATGTGATTTCATTCGTGCTAATACTATTGCCATGTGGATGGGGTAATCCCCTTTAATAAAGGGGCACCCAGATGCGGCCCCCCCTTGTGAATGAGTAAGAGGTACTTGTACACCTACTCATTCACTAAAGGGTTAAATACAAATATAAATAAACGCACCAGGCTTTTGAAAAAAGGCCTGTGGGCCATTTTATGTAGCCCTTGCACCTTTCCTTTTTAAACTGAAGCTGGAACTGTAAATGGTTGCCAGGCTTAACAGGAAGGCTGCAGCAGTCCCCAGCAAGGTCCCAGCAGGCTTCCTGTAAATCACAGTGCCTGTTTAGAGCATGGGCAGCAAATCTGCCCACCTGAGAGTCCACACAGCCCAACATAGACCCCGCACAGCCACCTGAGAGTCCACACAGCCCACCATAGAACCTGCACCGTCACCTGAAAGCCCACATAGCCCACCATAGAACCTACACAGCCACCTCAACTGGCCATCAAAATTTGACCCACTTGGACTTTTATGCAATTCAATTATGTTGAATTTTCATGGAATTCGCCATATTCCGGGCAAATCGGATTTTGGCTTATTGACTATATTTGCTCATAACTATTGGTGGTAAAGTTACCCTTAATGAGATAAAATCATGATTATTAAGAAAATAAGACTTCCAACAGGAATTTTTGTTTAACATGAGGGAAAATTGATGATGTTTGTAAAATTAAACATTTTTAGGAGATAACTATGTGAGATTAAGTTAAAATAAAAAGTAGTGATGTTAAAATGGGCAAGACATCAGCATCAAAAGGATGCTGAACAGAATTATGAATCCTTTGAAAAGGTTTGCATATACTGTATGTATTCAAACTGTGAATATAATTGCTTGCCTGGTGTCATAATAAGAAAAAAAATGCAGTTGCCATTTAGTGATCTCTTTCAAAATGCTAGTTATCTGGCTCTCTTGCTGATCCTCTGGCTTCAATACCCAATCACTGACCCAGAAAAATATATGTAGCTAGTAAATTTGAGCTTTTGGATCTGCATATCTGTTCAGTGACTCTGAAAGCATTAAAGGCAAGTGTAAATGAAAAACAACAAGCTGCTGCGCTAGGAGTAATCACTCAGTGAAAGTGAACCAGCTGCAACAATGTGTGGTAGTGAATGAAAAATGTTTGCTAATATGTTGCGCTAGGTCCTGTGTAGCAATCTCACAAGGGATTAATGTTGTATCAACAACTAATCTCCTCCTTTAATTCCAAATGATCTGTGACTCTATATAAATATTCAAATGGATTAAAAAGCAAAAAACAAATGTGTCGTGATCCTTATTAAACAAGTGTATAATATAATGCTATTTTGTTGTGCTCAGTTATATAAGCCAACTAACAAACTCTACAAATAGAAAGTGAGAGTGTCAGCATCGTGCCGCTACAGCGTTGCCATTTGTATTCAGGTGATAAGGTATAGTGCTAGATTGATGAATCTCGTGTAGCGGTCTGTGAAACCCTTATGTGCTATAAATGCTTGATTCCACTCTGTAACTTGCATCTAGTGGTTTAACTACATAAAAATACTACATGAAAAAACAAAGCGATAATGGGGCTTTAAAAGTGTCCTATGATGAATGTGGGATAACATGGCTTAGCTTGGTAACAAGACATGATCTCAATATACTTAAAAACATTTATTTGGTCTAAAAAGTTACAAACAGTGGATAATAAATACTTAAATATACCTCCCTGGACTTAGTGCAATTGCATGGTGTATAAAATAACGATATATTTTTTGTTGTAATAGTCATGCATTGGGTGCGTGATTATCCATACACATTTACAAGGCAAGCATAATTTCATCTATAATTGCACTATTCCGGCCCTCAACGTGTTTCGCTCGCTAAAGCTTCCTCAGGAGGTTTATTGGAGGCAAAACTCTGTAATTTCTTTGTAGATCCAAAGCTGAGATAATTAATAAATATAATAAATAAATAGATAGTAATTCTCAGTGCACATGTACAAATATCTACATTAATACAAGCACAATTAACTACATACATTCCCTCTTGGAAAATTGGGCAATGGATGGGTTCACACCCCCGGAGGACTCTTACCAACCAAGAAGGAGAGAGGGTGGGGAGAACAAGTTGGCAAAAGAGCAGGGGGGACAGCACATCTATCCTGGAGTTCCTACAATGGTTCAAACCATATATCTATTAAAAATTCAAAAGTTCAATCTTCTAAAAAAAACATAAATTATGATTAAATGAATAATTGTCTCATACCAAGTCCATCCATATGGCAATAGTATGAGCACAAATGAAATCACATCCATGGATTAGAGAGAGGAGAAATGCAAGGCATTCCCTCATGTTGGTAAGTACATAGTGTCAAAACAAACCGTATCAGTTGTATCAAAATCTCATATATCATTGACGACTAAAATATGACTCAAATCTAAATAAATCCATTTGATATCCAACATCTCTCACATTGGACACCAGTGCATGCATAACTGGCCAAATTGCTCAAAATAAGTTCCGGATTTGTATGTAAAACACTCTTAATATCTAAATGTCATTTAACTACACTTGAATGCAAGGAAATATTACCTCATTGTGGGAAGGATTTCTCTCCTTGTGCTGTCCAGCCACCCCGCTCCAGCGTTGGGAAGTTGCTAAATCTTCTAATCTAATTAATACTAGAAAACACATATGTTATCTGATCCATTCCATTGAATCTACAATTTTACCACCCGAGATCTGACACATTGGTGTAGATCCTCGGGGAGACATCTATATTTTGTTGGTCTACACTGCAACTTGATTGTTTATGGGTCCTCATTATCAATAGATTTAATGAAGATTTTCTGAGTCATTTGAGATATTAAAATTATGCACCCGACCTTGGAATAGATATGAGATACATTTACACAGATTGTTAGTCAATATCGGGGATCCAGCCATTGTTTTATACAATTTTATGTATTTATTTTTTTATCTTTCATTTATAATTTGTAAAACAAGATACAACCACAGACATTTTCTGGATATTGTAAAATATGTCTTGATATTTATATGTGTCGTTATCCTTCCCACGTGTGGTTTCTGTCCTCTAACAAATCAGGTGTGGGGGGAGGAGAGACCCACGTGGTGAGGAAGTGTCCGATTGTTTTTAACATAAATTGCGGTGAGAGACGAAAGCAGAAACACTCTTTTGAAAAAGTCCATAGATGAAACGCGTCAAGGGAGTTACTGGCTTTGATCTCTTATCGCTGAGTATTTCTATCACTTTCTATTCGTAGAGTTTGTTAGTTGGCTTATATAACTGAGCACAACCAAATAGCATTATATTATACACTTGTTTAATAAGGATCATGACACATTTGTTTTTTGCTTTTTAATCCATTTGAATATTTATATAGAGTCACAGATCATTTGGAATTAAAGGAGGAGATTAGTTGTTGATACAACATTAAGAGATTGCTACACAGGACCTAGCGCAACATAATAGCATTTTTTTTATTCACTACCACACATTGTTGCAGCTGGTTCACTTTCACTGAGTGATTACTCCTAGCGCAGCGGCTTGTTGTTTTTCATTTACACTTGCCTTTAATGCTTTCAGAGTCACTGAACAGATATGCAGATCCAAAAGCTCAAATTTACTAGCTACATATATTTTTCTGGGTCAGTGATTGGGTATTGAAGCCAGAGGATCAGCAAGAGAGCCAGATAACTAGCATTTTGAAAGAGATCACTAAATGGCAACTGCATTTTTTTTCTTATTATGACACCAGGCAAGCAATTATATTCACAGTTTGAATACATATATGCAAACCTTTTCAAAAGGATTCAGAATTCTGTTCAGCATCCTTTTGATGCTGATGTCTTGCCCATTTTAACATCACTACTTTTTATTTTAACTTAATCTCACATAGTTATCTCCTAAAAATGTTTAATTTCAGAAACATAATTAATTTTCCCTCATGTTAAACAAAAATTCCTGTTGGAAGTCTTATTTTCTTAATAATCATGATTTTATCTCATTAAGGGTAACTTTACCACCAATAGTTATGAGCAAATATAGTCAATAAGCCAAAATCCGATTTGCCCGGAATATGGCGAATTCCATGAAAATTCAACATAATTGAATTGCATAAAAGTCCAAGTGGGTCAAATTTTGATGGCCAGTTGAGGTGGCTGTGTAGGTTCTATGGTGAGCTATGTGGGCTTTCAGGCGACCGTGCAGGTTCTATGGTGGGCTGTGTGGACTCTCAGGTGGGCAGATTTGCTGCCCATGTTCTAAACAGGCACTGTGATTTACAGGAAGGCTGCTGGGACCTTGCTGGGGACTGCGGCAGCCTTCCTGTGAAGCCTGGCAACCATTTACAGTGCCAGCTTTGGCTTAAAAAGGAAAGGTGCAAGGGCCACATAAAATGGCCCACAGGCCTTTTTTCAAAAGCCTGGTGCGGTTTTTCATATTTGTATTTAACCCTTTAGTGAATGAGTAGGTGTACAAGTACCTCTTACTGATTCACAAGGGGGGGCCGCATCTGGGTGCCCCTTTATTAAAGGGGATTACCCCGATGCAAATAAGCCCCTCTGCCGCAGACCCCCACAACCAACACCCCAGGACTTGTGGAGAAGAGGCCCTCTTCCCCCTCTTGTCGGCACGGGGACAAGGTGCTTCTCCAGGGGGGACCTCTGCCGCTCGGCAGTATTCGGCTATTTACTCACTGCTGTTCGGCCCCTATGAGAATTGAGCGGCTTCTTCACTTCGGCTCAGCCGTACATGCAGAGCATGTTTGGCTGAGCGAAGCCAGCCGATATACGGCTGATTTTATCTGATGTGCAGCTGAAATCAGACGTACAGGGCCGAAGTGAATAGCCATATGGCGTTCGGCTCAGTTCACTTCGTCTCGGCTACCTTCGGCAGCTTAGTGAATAACCCCCTTAATGTTTTTGTTCACCTTGCTTGGCTTCCCTCTGCTATTCCTCTGTTGTGTTTCAGTCCTCAGCTGTCTTGTTAACCCCTTTGCAATTCTATAGCCCAGTTTATGTTGCCTAGTCTTTGTATAAGCTCTCCTGTCACTAGTGAGGCTATCTTAGGGTCTGCAGCTCACTGACAAAGTTCCATGTGCACCATCAGTGGCTCTGGTAAAGATTAGAGATCTTTTGGTCTTGTGCCTCACTGGGAGACTTTGGTCATTTACTAGTCAATTGACCTTTTTCATCAGTACTATCGAGTCTTCCTGTGTTTTCCATGTCTTGTCAATACATTCCACAATGGACTTCCTGGCTTCTGACATTGGTCTTCCTTTACATATGTAATCAGTTACTGGCTATGTTTCAATCTATGGCTATGTTTCAATCAACTGTATCCCTCTCTACAGTACTAAGAATATCACAATCCTTACACCCTGGCCAGCAGTCGTCTGTTGACCATTACATTAAACTATTTCTGATTTCTATTAGACACTCCTTTCATAATAATTGTTCTATAATAATTGTAATATTATTCCATACATTTAATCATATTCTTCCTGGTATTTACTTCCTTCCTTCCTTTCATTCTTCTTCTTTCTTCTTTCAAAGGGAACAGTGAGACCCACTACAGCAGGTTGTCAGTGTTGGGTTGTGGGTGGTAGACATGTGCGATTTGTTTCGTTCCGAATTGAAATTCGGATGACATTTTGGAAATTCGTAGATTCGGAGCATCCGAATTTCCGAAATATAACATATCCGAAAGCATCCGAAATTTTGAATCCGAAATATCGGATCCGAAATTCTGGATTTGGAACGAATTTCGCCCAAATCCTGTGCGTGCACTGTTAACATTTAAATGGATAAAAACAAATTAAGAAAATGATTTTAATCTCCCTTTAATAGTAAAGCACAGCAACCAGAAATTACAAATGTGCCAATTCTGCTACCCCACCTCAAGTTGAATTTTCTGGAATTTGTCCGAATTCTGAATCCGAATCCTAGCAACAAATTCAATTTCCGACCCGAATCTGAAAAACAAAATAAACGAAATCCAAAACCAAACAAAACAAATTTTTAGCCGCTGCACATTTCTAGTGGGTGGAGATTTTCAATGAATATTATGAGACATTGA